TTGCAATGCAACGCAATGCAATGCCATGCAACGCGTCACGTGGCAGCGACGCGCGGGCCGAACAACAACATTATGCCACGACGATGACGACGATGATGAGGGCCTCGGAGGCGAACAGCAATTCTATCCTATCCTCTTCATCGTCCTTTTCCCTCCCCCCTCCTCCCTCCTTCATCCTCCCTCCTTCCCCTTCCTACCTCCTCCCCCTCCCCTCCTCCCACCTCCTCCCTCCTCACTTCAATACAATGCACTACTCCTCCCTCCACCCCTCCCATCCTCCCCTTCCTCTCTCCTTCTCCCTCTCCCCCCCCTGCGCCCCCTCCGCAATTTAGCGGAATGCAATGTATTGCGAGCGCAATGCAAAGGCAACACAGTGCACTGTAATGCAACGAAACAGGATGCAATGCTACGCAACGCAACGCAACGCAACGCAACGCAACGCAACGCAACGCAGCGCAGCGCATCGCAACGCAATGCAATGCAAAGCAATTCAAAGGCAACGCAACGCAATGCAATGCAATGCAATGCAATGCAACGCAACGCAACACGGTGCGCCCGCGCGCACGTCTGCACGCCCGCCCGCTCGCCCACCCGCCCGCTCGCCCCTCCCGCGCGTGCCTCCCATCCATTCCATTCCATCCCCCCTTCCATTCCATCCTCTTCCGTCCATTCTATTCCATTCCATGTCATTCCATTCCGTCACACGACTCCCTTTCTCGCAGGCCAGAAATATTTCATTTGGGCCCAGCGGTGTGGGGCATCCTCGAAAGATGCCCCGGGAAGGGCTGGTTGGCTGGTTGATTGGCTGGCTGGTTGGCTCCCCGGTTGCCGGGTGAGCTGGCGTTCAGAGGCCAATCTTGGCACACCCTTCACACGGATCGCGCCATGGGGGGCGGACATCATTTTTTCGATCGGAATTCGAGAGATCCCCCGCGACCCCTGGCGGCTCGCAGCGCAATGCAATGCCACGCAGCGCGTCACGTGGCAGCTCCGTGCGGGCCGAGCAAAAACATTGACAATGATGACGAGGGCCTGGGAGGCGAACAACATACTATCCTATTCTCTTCTCGGGGGTAACGATAGGGGGGATGGGCATAGGGGGGATTCATCGACCCCTGATCGCCCATTGATCGCCGATAGGGGCCCGATAGCCCCAGCCTGCACAGCAGGGTGCGGATTCACTGTCGGGTGCCTAGCGCAAATCTGTCGGCGATGTATCGCCGATTCCAGGTCGATGCACCCCCCCCTATGCCAGTCCCCCCCCTACAGGATCTGGCTTGAAGAAGGAGCACTTACTTTTCAAAAGGGGCTCGGTCGTTCCTTGAGTTTGCATGCGTTCCGCTACCTTTTTGGCGGCGAGCCCCCTCTGGTGTTCCTTCAGATCTTGGACGCGCGGGTCCGTTCCTTCGGACTTCGTAGACATACTTGGAAAAAAAGGGGCTTCGCTCCTTGTGTGTCGTTCCTTAGGTCAGGCCGAATCCTGTATTGCTGCTCCTCGTCTGCCTGCCCCTCCCCCCGAGGGGGGGGCGCATGGGCCCCCAAATCGCCTGTGCATCGCCGATCGGGGCTCGGACGCCCCACCCTGGCCAGGCTTCGCGATCGGCCCAGGTCCTTGGCACTGCTCGGACGTGTCGGTTTTTTTGCTTGGAGTTCGATAGACCTCCTACCCTGACACGTCGATTAGTGAATTGGCCGTTTTCGGTTCGCGAGAGCGCGTCACGGCCGTTTCTTGTCGCGGGTCCGGTCCGAGGCCGTTTTCATTAAAGGGTGGTTTACTAAAGGGAGGTTCCGCGTTCGAACGCTCTCGGGAGAAATGTCTTCCAATACCCTCAGCGGAGCTATTGTCGTCGCCGCCGCCGCCGTCGATGCCACCAACGCCGCAGCCGCCGCCACCATCGTTGTCGACGTCGTGGCTTCCCTCCAAATCGGCCGCGGACATGTCCAGGGGTGCGATTTGGTCAGAATTTCGCAGGGAGGATCCGGTTGTGGAGACCTGGTAGAAGTGTTCCCGAAGGGTCTTCAGACGCTTCCTGGGGTATCTTGCGGCCGTCTCTGGGACTTGAGAGCTTATGTATGGCCTCTTGAGCACTTGTCACGGGGACCTGCCGTCTAGGGTACGACAGATCTGGTCAGTTTTCCACTTGGAGCCAGCTTGGGCCCCCAAGAGTCTTGGCACCTGCTTTGGGCGATGTTGGTCCGCCTGGGCGGGGTCGCAGGGCTGCCTTGAGGCTCCGAGGCGGTCGTCTGGGGCAATCTCAGAAGGCCTCTCGGGGCTCTGAGGCGCCGTCTTGGAGCTTTGTGAGTTGTTCGTGGGATCGTATGGGGCCGAAAGGTTTTGAGGACCAACATGCGTCGGACAACACGTATTGCTCTTCAAATGCAAGCCCCCCGACAGTGGCATGCCTGAGAGTTTCTTGGGTAACATTTTCATTGGTTTGGGAGTCTCTTTGGCAATTGTTGGGATATCGTCAGGCGTTCAAGAAGTGTTTGAGCCATGCCAGGCCCTTCTTTGGATAAGCTGGATCCACCTCGAGGAACGTCTCAGCATCTTGGGACCATCTTGGGGCTAGCGGTGATCGGCTGAAGGCAAACATAGAGATGGCGGTTATCGAAAACGGTCTGTTACGAAGGGTCGGGCCGCCCTTTGAACATGTCACACATCCCATCAGGCAGCTGGCAGGCGTTCTCACGCGGCCGAGCGCGACGAGGGGCACGCTAGAGGATTGCGCGGCGAGAAGTTGGACTCCAAATCGTGGTGCTGGCAGAATAGAGTAGTGCGGCTGATGATCGTTTTCTCATTCATTGTTTCGCCGATCGGCGCGGGCCCTCGCCCCCCCCCCATGGAGTAGATCTTGACCGTTCTGGGCGCCTTTTTGAAGCAGGTGGAGTCTCCTTCAGTGGGACGCACTGTTGCAAACAGTCGCACTAAGCAGAGGTCCGGAGCCATACCCCCTCCTCCCCCTCCCCCCCGCCCCTTCCGCCCAGTGCCGAAACTCGGCGTCGGGCGAGGAGGGGACGTGAGACGGAGAAGGCCTTCTCAGAGGGCACTCGCGCCTTCTCAGAGGTTGTTTTTTGTATCTTCGGGGGAGGCTCAGAAAACTTCTCAGAAGGCCGGGCGACTTCCGAGCCTTCTGAAACGGCTCGCCCCTTCTCACTTCCCCCCCTCGCTCGCCGCCGAGAAACTGGCAGAACAGAGCACACAGACCAAAAACGTCCAGGAGCATCTCGTCGTGACCTTCTTCGGAGGGCCTCCCCCCGCGGCGGGCCGCGGCGGGCGCGGGCACGGGCCCCCGAGGAGAGGGCCCCCCCCCTCCCGCCTCCCAATGGTCCTCGGCCTCCTGGAGGCCGCCCCGTGTCCGTTTTTGTTGTTTTTGTTCCTTCCTTTTGTCGTTGTCGTTGAGGTCGTCCTTGTCGTCGTCTCTGAGCCCGTGGGCACGCCGCTGCCTACCCATCGGCTGCGCACCACTGGTGCAAGACAGGGAAACGCCCTTGCTACAGGAGGCCTAGGTCGCCTAGCCCTGTAGGCCATCCAGGTCCTCCTGAGCAGGTCCTCTAATGAGGCCTGCGATCCTAACACTACGGATGAACCCAGATGCTCTACAGGCTAATCATCTGGCTTGGCTTGCTCGGAGTCGTTCCCGACCGTCTTTGTCCTTTGTCCTTTGTCCTCCTCCTCCTCCTCCTTCTCCTTCTTCTTTTCCTCCTCCTCTTACTCCTCCTCCCACTCCCTCTCCTCCTCCTCTTACTCCTCCACCTCCTACTACTGCACCTCCACCTCCTCCCCCGCCTCCTCCTTCCCCCCCCTCTCGCGCCATCCCCGCGCGATGCGCGCGGCCTGCCGGTGGGGTCGCGGGGGCTGCAGGAGGGCGGCTCGCACATCTGGTGGCGCTTTGCGTGGCGGTTGCTCGGCGCGCCATTGGCCCCCCCCCCTTGGGCCGCGGCGGCCACGTGTGGGCCGGTCTTCGTGGGGCGGAATGGCCCGATGCGTCGGTCGATGGCGGGTCCACAGCGACAGGGGTCGCGTCGTTGCTCAGACGCCGTGCGCGCGGACGCCCGCGGGGGTGGGGGCGGCGCGGCGGAAGCCGCGCAGGGGTGGCGGGGGTGCCCTCCTCCACTGAAGGCCCCCCCTCCATTCTCGCGGACCTTCCGCCCTAGCCTTCCGCCCCTTTTTCGATGTGATCGACGTGGTTTTCTTTGAATTGCGTAAGTTTTTCGTGAGATTCGATGAATTCTTCCGCGCATCCCGCGGAGGTCGGAAGGCATGCAAGGCGGAGGTGGCGGGCGGAAGAGGGCGCACGCTGGCCCCCCCCCTTTCGGGAGGCCACTGGCTTGCAGCAGTCGAGGGAGGAGAAGCCACCCCAGCCCCAAATGCTGGCGTTTACTACCCTGGGCGCTTCCTAAGGCGTCCTGCCTTGCTCGATTCCTCCCTCGGGCGCGAGTGCTGAAAAAGCTTCTCCTGTCGGGGCGCTTCTTGCGAGGATGGAGCGTCTCCTGTGATTCGACGTAGCGAGAGAATTATTGCACCGTCGTAGAAATTCACGCCTAGAGCCCTAGACCCTATCTTTCTGCCCCATTTTCCGAGCCAGATCGATCTGTGAGGGTCCCGGGGCCCGAAGCTCCTGGAAACCACGCTGGGCTCGAGCAACATTGAATCGCCAGGATCTCAGGGTCTGCCCTCCAAGCAGGGTCTGGCAGCAGCTCCTGGCATCCCACGGTCTTGTCATTTACGAAACCATTTGCATGTCTTGATTTTTTCGCTGGTCTTGTTTCTGGGACATGTCTTGTTTTGTTTGCGCATGTTTTGTTTTTCTGTGAGATGTTTTGTTGCTTTGTAAGATGTCTTGTTTTTCTTGTGTACTGCCTTGTTCTTCTTGCGACTTCATAGAATTCGCAGCCGTGATTGACCGCGACCGCTTCCGCTCAGCGGAAATATTCTCACTCCTTCTGGCCGCGCGGCGGCCCCGCCGCCCGGCTCGCGCGAGTGTCGAGCCGCCGCCCAGGAAGGCCGAGGAGGACTGGATCGCCGCGGGCGGGCCGCAGGCCACGCCGGGCCCGCCCGCGGCCAAGGACGGCCGCTGCGCGGACCCCTCTCCGCCGCCTGGGGGTCACGGCCGCGGTCCTCGGGTCGGCGGGGGGGAGGCTTGGCATCGCTCGGGTTAAGTCGGGCCTGTCCCTCTACAGGGGGAATATCCCCAACTAGTTGAAAGATCGTCAGGGGACTGTTTTTTTTGAGAATTGTTATTTCTTGATTGTTTGTGGTGTATGTTTAATTTTCCGCCCAGGATCCGCCTGTAGGAGGACACGCCCGACCTAACGCTCGGGGCGTGTGCATTGCTTTTCGGCGAGGAGCATCGAGATACATCCTGGGCCATCGTGCGAGGGAGAGGCTCTGCGGAGCGGCAGAGTGCACGGGGGGATGGACGTGTACGATCGGTGGCGAGGGTGTGGCGTTGCTCGGACTTGCGCGTTTCCCCCCCCCCCCCCCCCCTTGCGAGGACCGTCGAGGAGGATTTTGGCTCATCTCTCGCGAAACGATAAACCCACGAATTCGAGAAGTGCACGTGGAATGGGCGTCCGAGCGATGGCGAGTGGGAAGAGGGTGCGGCATGCCACAGCCAAGACGCTGGATGAAGGAGCAGTTTGGGTTCGAGAGGGGTCCCTTGGGTCCTTCTGGTTGTTCCTCTGGCGCTCCTCGGGCACACGGGCGCTCTTCCAGCGATAGAGGCGCTTCGTTCTTTCTGTCGCGTTCCTTGTGGTAACAGCCAGACTGTAGGCCTCCTCGTGGGGTCCGAATATAGACGGGGTCTTGGGATCGCGCCGTATCGCCGCTGCATCGTGGATGCGGCTTGATGTGGAGTCCGACTTTCTCTGCGCCTGCGTCGCCGATGCATTGTCGATGCATCGGCGATGCGGCGCGACCCTCCGACCCCATCTGCTGCAGCATGGGCATCGGGGGAGCGCCGGCTGTGCAACTCCTGCGTGGCCCCGAGCCCTGGGCAGGCGAATCCCAGGCTTGGGGCCGAGGCTTCTGAGTCCTCCCGGCCAGGACTCACCCATCCTGGGCCCCGTGACGGCCTGGACCAGGAGCACACGGCCCTTACATTGTCCGGGTGTTGTCATCGTATTGGTCTCGTGTGGGCGTACGGGCATTGCCCTCGTGTTGCTCTTGTATTGGCCTCGTATGGCCTGGTGGGGGCGTGCGGGTATTGCCCCCCTGGGCGGCAGGAGGGGGCGGTGCCAGGGGCGGCGGCCCTCCACGGCGACGCTCGGGTTGGGCGTGGTTCTGCAGGGCCAACTCTTTTACCTTTGGTGCGGGCCCAGGCGGGTTCCCCCGATCGCTTGACGCGATGCCATGGCGGCGTCTTGCGCGCTCGTGTTTGGGCCCCCCGCGGCCCCAGAAAGGCCGCGCACCAAATGTCGCTCTTGCCCAGGGTCACTCTTGCGTGTAGCTGAAGGACGGCTTCTGCATGATGGGAAGGCGGTTTCTCAATCCCCGCAACACTGCTGCGCGCCGCTCACAGGGGGCGGGTCACCTCCAAAAGCGTACAGTCACCGACCTCGTCCCTCGTCACACCTGGGCACTGACGACCTCCAAGTGACATGAACGTGCTTGTATCTCTCCTTCTTAGAGTGCCTCCAGCGACCCTTCGGTTCCCTTTGGCCGCAGCATAAGCGATGCCATTGTGCAGAGCATCACTGCTGGCACGGGTGGGATTTGTGATCTCTACCTGCCCCCGAGAGGTGGTCGGTCCCGTAATTATTGGAACCGGCGCGCCCGGCGCATCTTTTTTGTTGTTGCATCTCTCTTGTTGGCCCTCCCCAGCACAAAGGAGTATCACACCCATCCAGGGGCTCCTCCACTCGCCCACCTACCCTCTCTTGGGCGCTTCCGCAGGGAACATCTCAAGCAGTCATGCTTCAGGGGAAAAATCACACAGACACAAACAATCGTCGATTCCCAGGAAAAGATGGGAAGTATGGGAAGTGAGGGGGAAGACGAGAGACGAGAATCCAGAACGGATCGAACAGTAGTTGGCATCTTGGGATTTGTATCTAATAGTGCGTGTGTGTGTGTGTGTCCCTGGGCCCCTTCAATGATGTTTCCGAGCTCCACAGTCCTGTGTCGACGACGCCAAACAAAGAGCCGCCACGGTGGCCTAGTGAAACAACAGACCGCTATAACCCTGCAGCGGAGGCGCAGTAGTCAGCTATGGCAGGTTCTTGTCGTGCCGACCAGTGGCGACCCCAGCGCGAGCGTTTGAGGTTCAACGCCGCCTGTGGCCCAGAGTCGGCCCATCCTTGAACGATCCGGCCTTTTGAAAGGAACCAACGCAGGGGTCGACACGACGCGAATCTGCTGACGTACGCGAAGACGCCTGGAAACGGAGCCGTTCATTGCCCCCCTTGGCCACTGGCCCCCGTCGCAGTCACCGCAAGGCCGAGGGACTCTTCTGCTTGCCCGTCCCGTGCCGCGCAGCTCACCAACCATCCTGCGGTGGGATCCTCGTTTTGAAGAGACAGCGCCCCTCGTCCCGCCTCCTCCTCCTCCTCCTCCTCCTCCTCTGGCGCAGCTCGCATGGCGCAGCCGCCCTATTTCGGCACACCCCTCACACGTTTCGTGGTCCCATAGGGGGGCTCCACCTAATGTCCCAGTGGCGCAGCTCGCATGGCGCTGCCGCCCCATGTCGGCACACCCCTCACATGTTTCGTGGCCCCATAGGGGGCTCCACCTAAGGTCCCAGTGGCGCAGCTCGCATGGCGCCGCCGCCCCATGTCGGCACACCCCTCACATGTTTCGTGGCCCTGTAGGGAGATCAAACTAAGGTCCCAATGGCGCAGCTCGCATGGCGCCGCCGCCCCATTTTTGGCACACCCTTCACACGCTTCGTGGCCCTATAGGGAGCTCAAACTAAGGTGGCCGTCTTTGGAGTGCCCTTGGAGGCCTCTTTGGGGCCGTCCTGGAGGCCTCTTGGGCCATCTTGAGGTCACGTCGGTCACTCTTGGAGCGCTGCTGTGCTGTCTTGGGGGTCTCTGGGACGTCGCCGATGACCCCTCTGATCGCCCTAGGTGTGCTGGGAAGGCTTGGCAAAACGCCCTGCGAGGCCTGGGGGGCCGCTTGGAGGCCCGTCCGGAGGGTCCCCAAGCCCCAGATCCAGGGAATCCGTTTTTTTGTGGGGGAGGGGGTCCCCCGGCCCGGGCTTGGTATATGTATATATATATTATATATATATATATATATAATATATATTATATATATATCACATATATACACATGAATGAATGTTTGTATGTTTGTATGTTTGTATGCATGTATGCATGTATGCATGTATGCATGTATGCATGTCTGCATGTATGTATGTATGCATGTATGCATGTATGCATGTATGCATGTATGCATGTATGCATGTATGCATGCATGCATGCATGTATGTATGTATGTATGTATGTATGTATGTATGTATGTATGTATGTATGTATGTATGTATGTATGTATGTATGTGTGTGCATGTGTGTATGGGTGTATGTGTGTATGTGTTTATGTGTGTATGTGTGTATGCATTTGTATATAAATGTGTATATAGATGTATATATATATATATATATTATCATACGCACCTCTCCGAGGGAGTAGAGCTCAGAGGCGATTAATGCGCACGCGTCCGCGATTTTTCTGGGCGTTTCGCTCGGGACATCCTCGACATTCTGAAAATCGGTGGCACCCCTCATGCAGATCGTGACGTCAGGGTCCCAAAAAACATGGGAATTTCAACATTTTAACATAAAACCTTCAAACACACATGGTAATTTCAATAATTGTGACCCCGATTCTCAGGGAATGGCGGTTTCGCTTGAAAAATCCTTCCAAAATCGAGCCCCAGACCCCGCCTCGGAGCCTCCTGGGGGCCTCCTGGAACCTCCTGGGGCCTCCTGGGGCTGAACCTTCTGGCACCCCAGACCCCGCCTCGGAGCCTCCTGGGGGTCTCCTGAAACCTCCTGGGGCCTCCTGGGGCCTCCTGCGGCCTCCTGGAGCCTCTTGGGGCCTCCTGAAGCCTCCTGGGGTCTCCTGGGGCCTCCTGAGGCCGCCTGGGGCTTCCTGGGGCCTCCTGGGGCTTCAGAACTACATGCACACAGAGACACAAATCATGCCCAACACATCACACGCTAGACAAACATAACACACACACAACACCTACAACACACAAAAAGCACGCACCACACAAAGCATACATCACACACACACACACACACACACACGCACAACACTCACAATCCTGGGGCCTCCTGGAGCCTCTTCTGGTATCCAAGTCGGGCCGCCTGAGGCTTCTGGGGGGTCCTGGTACACACATCGCAAGGTGTGGCAACCCCACTTGCGCTCGAGTGCGACTTCGATGTTGCATTTCACTCCTGCTTCAAACGCCCCTTCAGTTTTTTGTATGAGCCTGGGCACACACGTGCCACTTATATATGCGTTGTACTTGTACGGAAATCTCGGCACGCGTTTCGGTGAAGGCCGCTCGTCCTGAGGTCCTCGTTTGCCTCTGGTCTCATCCGTAAACACGGTGGCTCAAAGCAAAGCAGGGCGCCGGGCCTCCCGCATGGCTGGGCCCTTCGCCGTGCGAGTCCTGGAGTGGGCGGGCGGCGTGGCGGGCGCCTACCTGTCGCGGTGCCCCGCTTGCCCCGCGGTGCCCGACTGCCACTGCGCGGCGTGCCCGCCTTGCCCGGCACTGGCTTCGTGCTCGTGCCCGCCGTGCCCGGCGTGCCCGGGCTGCCCGGGCGGGGCCGCCGCGCCGGCAGCGCCGGCCTGGCCCCCGCCGGAGAGCCAGAGCTGCCCCGCGCCGACGGAGGTCGAGCGCGCCGGCGCTCCGGCCTGGGGCGGGCTGGGGCCGGGGTGGTGGTTGGTGCTCGGCGTGGTGCTCGGGTGCCTTCTCGCCGTGCTCGGCCAGGCGGTGGTGCGCGGCGGGCTGAGCTGCGCTAAGCGGCTGACGAAGGGCGAGGATGGCAGCGGCGCCGCCGAGGGCGAGGGAGTGGGCATTCGTCCTGTACGCCGACGACGAGCACTTGTGGCA